TTCCATGTACTTTATCACCAAAATCTGGTCATCTGGATGACCGATTGTCAGAAAAAAATGTTTGACATTGTGGGTCCAGATATTTGATATTTAACTGTGTATTAAATGTTTTATGATTATTTGATACTGTTTCAATTTTAAATAAGTCAATTTGTGAATTATAAGGTAGTTATAGACCTTGAAACCTGGAATTGTTCCAAAAATTGCCATTGATGTTTACCAGGCTGAAAATCTCCCTAGTTTTGCCTCACAAGTCTATTCAGCTGAATAAGTAAATTCAAGGAACGTTTTAAAAAACTCATTTGTAATTGCTAAACAACCAGCCTGACATACATGTAACATACAGCAATAAATACAGACAGATAGACAATAGACAGAAGGACTGACTTATGGACCTAATACTTCATGAAAAGGTAGGCCACAGGAAAATGCCATTGAACTGACTTCATGAAAAGGTAGGCCACAGGAAAATGCCATTGAACTGACTTCATGAAAAGGTAGGCCATAGGAAAATGCCATTGAACTGACACAGATGCCAATTTATTGCAGTTGATGTTGTATGTTTTATCATTGGAAGGTTTATTTATCCAGGAAAATGGACCAGGGTTTGGTTCTTGTATCACTAACTAAACCTAATTATCAGCATTAATATACCAGGGTTTGTGTTGTCATTAATTAAGTCTGATTACCAGTCTTCCTAAAGATCTTGTACTCATGTCAGCATGAATGCATACCTTATCATGTTTGTAGGCAATATTTCTTTGTCTAACATTGAGGTTTATCGGACAAAATTAACTGCAATGGCCTTCACTTCATAAGTAAGAGAAGATTGTAAACTTATTCCCTTCTCCCCTCCAGTTTCCTCCCTTTTCTTCTTTCTATATGCAATTCACATTTTCTTAATATTAAACACAGTTGTCTACTATATTTACCCATGCTTTATAACAGCAACAAAGTTCAAATAGTATGGGCCCAGTTTTGCTGTCACCTAATGTACTGACAAATTAGGGTTCATGCTGATTTCTTGAACTCGTATAGAAAACAAAGATCATAAACTCTAATTATTAGATGCATTACACAATGGCAGATCTTTGCCTATCCTGCTTATAGTTGGCAATATGATATATATTAAAAATTGGCAGTAGGTATATTTGTTGTTACATTTTATACAGTGGATGGATTCCTGTTTCTCCTTATTGGTACAAGCCTGTACAATCAGCTTATTCATGTGGAATGCATACCCTGTCTCCGAAAGGAACCCCAGGAAATGAAGACAATAGTCAATCCACGAGGTCATCAAAATATCCAGGATTCAGATGGAGATGAACAGAGCAGTGAAGAGGATGAAGCTCAACCATCAGAGAGGACCAGGCTTCTCAAGGATAGAGATGGTTAATAAATCAGTGTTAATGCTATTTAATAATGCAGTCTTTAAGTGGAGTTATAAGATCGGTCTCATTAATCCCAACCTTCCCCCAATACATGCTGTTGCAAAGCAGTCATTACAAGAGTCTTGGTGTATGATACTGTATAGCTGTCATTACAAGAGTCTTGGTATATGATACTATATAACTGTCATTACAAGAGTCTTGGTGTATGATACTATATAGCTGTCATTACAAGAATCTTGGTTTATGATATATATAGCTGTCATTACAAGAGTTTTGGTGTATGATACTGTATAGCTGTCATTACAAGAGTCTTGGTGTATGATACTGTATAGCTGTCATTACAAGAGTCTTGGTGTATGATACTATATAGCTGTCATTACAAGAGTCTTGGTGTATGATACTGTATAGCTGTCATTACAAGAGTCTTGGTGTATGATACTATATAACTGTCATTACAAGAGGCTTGGTATATGATACTGTATACCTGTCATTACAAAAGTCTTGGTGTATGATACTATATAGCTTTCATTACAAGAGTCTTGGTGTATGATTCTCTATAGCTGTCATTACAACAGTCTTGGTATATGATATTGAATAGCTGTCATTACAAGAGTCTTGGTGTATGGTACTGTATAGCTGTCATTACAAGAGTCTTGGTATATGATATTGTATAGCTGTCATTACAAGAATCTTGGTTTATGATATATATAGCTGTCATTACAAGAGTCTTGGTATATATGGTATATATGATATTGTATAGATGTCATTACAAGAGTCTTGGTGTATGATACTGTATAGCTGTCATTACAAGAGTCTTGGTGTATGATACTGTATAGCTGTCATTACAAGAGTCTTGGTATATGATATTGTAAAGCTGTCATTACAAGAATCTTGGTTTATGATATATATAGCTGTCATTACAAGAATCTTGGTATATATGGTATATATGATATTGTATAGATGTCATTACAAGAGTCTTGGTGTATGATACTGTACAGCTGTCATTACAAGAGTCTTGGTATATGATATTGTAAAGCTGTCATTACAAGAATCTTGGTTTATGATATATATAGCTGTCATTACAAGAGTCTTGGTATATATGGTATATATGATATTGTATAGATGTCATTACAAGAGTCTTGGTGTATGATACTGTATAGCTGTCATTACAAGAGTCTTGGTGTATGATACTGTATAGCTGTCATTACAAGAGTCTTGGTATATGATATTGTAAAGCTGTCATTACAAGAATCTTGGTTTATGATATATATAGCTGTCATTACAAGAGTCTTGGTATATATGGTATATATGATATTGTATAGATGTCATTACAAGAGTCTTGGTGTATGATACTGTATAGCTGTCATTACAAGAGTCTTGGTGTATGATACTGTATAGCTATCATTACAAGAGTCTTGGCTTCTTATAAATTGCCTTATATCTATAGATGATTCATACTGATTCTAATCAGAGTATTGATGCTTTGTCTTGATTTAATGGCTTTTTCAGATGATTTCATTATATTTATTATTTGTTTCCTAATTGTTTTTTGGACACCATTTCCTAAAAATCAGATAGCTATTTGTATTTATTTGGAGCCAAAGTTCTTCATCACTTCTTCAGTTTTATGTTTAATACTCCTTGACAATTTATTTTGTGTGTTAGTCACTTCTTTTGTGTGTTAGTCACTTCTTTTGTGTGTTAGTCACTTCTTTTGTGTGTTAGTCACTTTGATGTTATACATTCTTTTGACTGATATATGAAAACAAAACATTGCAGGTTCTCATTAGTTTATTTACACTCAGTTAGTTACTCTGATGTTGTAGTTAAACTAAATTTTTATGATTTATATATGATTTATTACTTTAATTATATTTTGCATTACTGTAGAAAGATAATGTTTGATTCAAGATTGAAATGGGGTAAAATCATTTAAATTTATTAGTGTAGTGTACCTTTTATGCAGAAATTGAGATTAAGAGAAATTTAAATGATTCTAGAGAGTCTTCACATTCCATGTAAGTCATATAATGCATCATTCTACTGACATAATTTTACCCTGGTTGATTTCTATATGAAACTTCCCAATTAAAAATGAATGAGAAGATTGTACACCCTGTCAGAGTGCCAACATTACAATGGCAGCAGTATTTTCTGAGAGGTGGGGACTCCTTCTTTCTTTGTATATTTTATATCATCAACTTTATTAAGGCAGTGCTCCTGTAGTAGTTCCACACTCAAGATCAGTCTTTTGTTTCATCACATCACCATAAATTATCTTATTTTAATAAATGTATCATAAAATGGTTTTTCAGTTATTGTGCTCTCTCTCTCACACACACACATACACATGTACACATGCATAGAGCCAATTTTTAAATCCTGCCCTTGGGCATGTGATATGCTGGCACACACTAAAGCAGCTTCAATATCTTTTGTCAGCATGTTATCTTTGGTTAATAAATGTGAATTGAGAAGACTACCATACTGCAAATATTTCAACTTTATTTAAATTTTCCAGTTGAAAATTTGCTATACATGTATGCCCAAATACTACAATTTGCATATGTTTACCTCCAGTATACTATTTCACAACATTTGTTCACCTTCACCGACATTGTAAAACATAATTTTATGAAGCAATAAGGCCATGGTGGTACAGTTCATGTCAGTCAAAAACAGTGATACATCAATGCACAGACATAAATGGTTGTATCACCATGTTTTTTAAAACTAAATGACTTCTTATGATGTCTAGCGATTCTAAATAAAAATGGTACTGCTGAGACATCCTGCATGGCCACTGCAGTGTCATCTTAAGAATCAATGTAAATCCTAAAGAATGGCTATATTGGCATCAAATTTTCACTTACAGACTTCTTAAGACTATTTGGGCATAACATGAGAGAAAGACAAAGGACAAGAGAGTTTAACCTGAACAATATAAGAATCAAAACAGGTACAGACTTCTTAAGACTATTTGGGTATAACATGAGAGAAAGAAAAAGGACAAGATAGTTTAACCTGAACAATATAAGAATCAAAACAGGTACAGACTCCTTAAGACTATATGGGTATAACATGAGAGAAAGAAAAAGGACAAGAGAGTTTAACCTGAACAATATAAGAAACAAAACAGGTACAGACTTCTTAAGACTAGTTGGGTATAACATGAGAGAAAGAAAAAGGACAAGAGAGTTTAACCTGAACAATATAAGAATCAAAACAGGTACAGACTTCTTAAGACTATTTGGGTATAACATGAGAGAAAGAAAAAGGACAAGAGAGTTTAACCTGAACAATATAAGAATCAAAACAGGTACAGACTTCTTAAGACTAGTAGGGTATAACATGAGAGAAAGAAAAAGGACAAGAGTTTTACCTGAAAAATATCAGAATCAAAACAGGTACAGACTTCTTAAGACTTTGGGTATAACATGAAAGAAAGAAAAAGGACGATAGTTGAACCTGAACAATATAAGAATCAAAACAGGTACAGACTTCTTAAGACTAGTTGGGTATAACATAAGAGAAAGAAAAAGGACAAGATAGTTTAATCTGAACAATATAAGAATCAAAACATGTACATCATATGTTTCTACCATGAGAGACCACTCAAGTGGCCTAGTGGTTAGAGTGTTTGTCTCTGATGTGGGAGGTCATGGGTTCGATCCCCAGCTAAGTCATACCAAAGACTTACAAAAATAGTACTAACAGCTGCCTTGCTTGGCACTCAGCATTCAGAGGTTAGTGTTAGGACTGGTCGGCCTGGTGTCAGGATAATGTGACTGGGTGGGACATCATGCTACATGCCTGCAGCATGATGCCCCAGTGCTAGACATCACTATAAACTGCTACACTGCAAACATTGTAGCAATACGATTGAAAAATTGTTAAAAGCTATGTTAAGAATCTAAGACACACACACACTCTCTACCATGAAAGAAAGAAACAGGGCAAGAGAGTTTAACCTGAAGAATATAAGAATCAAAACTGGCATTTTGTATTTGTTTTCTGCCATGAGAGAAAGAAAATGAAAGGCAATGTGAGAGTTATGGGATTCAATAGTTTTTAAATTGTATTCATTTGTAATCCCAGTATTTCCTTAATCTGACTAAACTGCCTATTCAGTGCTAGTATAAAACCTTTGTCCAACTGCACAGACCCATATCTGCTGTTGCATTTTATGCCAGTATATATGGGTCTGTACAGTTTGTTAGGAGTAATCTATACAACAAACAACGCAAACCCTGATTGTACTGCACATTTTTTATGGTCAAAAGAATGGATTCAGATTTTACAATTTGGTTATTAATTTATTTTTATGAGTAAAATATTCTTCAATACTTATGTGATGGTTGATAATGAAAGTATTTCTCTCTCCTCCTTGGATACAATTCTTATTTATTTTGACTTGTAAGTTAAATTGATCTGGAGCTGACTGCATAACTCATTCCCAAATTTTTTCATCCTATTACACTGAAACACTTTCCACATTAGCTATGCTTGTTTCAATCAATTGAACATATTTTTGTAAGAAATTGTTTGCAACTAAAGTATGCAGTATATTTGAAACTGAAAGTTCTTGAGATTAATGTATTTAGTATTTTTGGTAAGACTGAACAGAAATATTTCCACTCAGATTGAGATACATTATTATGTAAATCAATATCCAATTTTGAAATTCTAATATCTGATTTGTATCCATAATCTTTTATATAAAAATTTACTTAATTTTTTTAAATTTCAAATTTAAGCTGACATATATGTATTGAAACCAGCATTAAATTGATAGTTACTAATATTATGTTTATCATTTTGTTTCCACCATCAGATTTTTATCTTTAAAGAGCAAAGTAATTAAGAAAGGTTACTATCACATTAAATCTTTTTTCAGGATACTGATGAAGAAAATTTCATCATCATCATCTACCATTTTATATCATACAAGAAAATATTGAGACATTTAGATTTGTAAGATGGATCAGTTCTGGCCATTTTTAATCACTCATTGTAGCCACATAATTTACAGTGATTTATAGATTCATTGAGCTCAATCAGTCCAGTACATATGTTTGCCCATGGTGGATAGATGTAATTTAATTAGAAGTTGAACATATAAGAAAGTCACAATATTTGTTGACAAAGGTGCTGTATGTACAAGTGCCTTTTATATGAAGGTATTTGCAAAGACAGATTCCACAATAACTATTATGAAATCAGTGATATCAGCATATGTCTTAATCAACCATTGGTCCAACCTTATGCATGTGTCACCTAGCGATCATAATAGAAAAGATGATTGATTATGATAGCTACAAATTAGCATATTAACACACTCTGATCTGATCAAATCATATTCCTTAAAACATGTAGGCCAAGGCCTGCATGTAAAGCCCACAGTCAAATCATATTGCTTAAAACAAGAATGCCAAGGCCAGCATATAAAACTCAGTCAAATCATATTGCTTAAAACAAGAAGGCCAAGGCCAGCATATAAAACTCACAGTCAAATCATATTGCTTAAAACAAGAAGGCCAAGGCCAGCATATAAAACTCACAGTCAAATCATATTGCTTAAAACAAGAAGGCCAAGGCCAGCATATAAAACTCACAGTCAAATCATATTGCTTAAAACAAGAAGGCCAAGGCCAGCATATAAAACTCACAATCCAATTATATTGCTTAAACAGGTAAGCTGAGACCTGCATGTAAGGCCCATAATCAAATCATGTTGCTTAAAAAGGGAAGGCCAAGGCCTGTGTGTTAGACACACAGTAATATTATATTGTGTAAAACAGCAAGTCCAAGGCAAGCATGTAAGGCCCACAATCATATTGCTTAAACAGGAAGGCCAAAGCCTGCATGTCAAGCCCGTAATCAAATCATATTGATAAAAATAGGAATGTCAGGGCCTTCATGTAAGGTCCACAGTCAAATCATTAATAAAAACGGGAAGACCAAGGCCTGTATGTAAGGCCTACAATTAAATCATATTATTTAAAACAGGAAGGCCAATGCCTGCATCCACAATTGACGCATTGTTGTAATACTCATGATCATGAGACCAGTGTCAAAAGTTTGAGTCAACATTTGGCAAATTGAATTGTATTATATTGATAATAATTCATGCAATAAATGTAAAAAATCCTATAAGGTTTTTGGAAAGTGTAAATTATTGAAAAAAACTTAAAACTATTTTTAACATTGATTATACTCTTTGCATGGGCACACAGAAAGCAAGAACAAAATGACTGATAATGCAGTGCATAGAATATACACAGAAAATTATTCATTGTTACTTTGCCAGTAATACCTACCCTCAAAAAATGAAAAAAAAATTTAAATGTTTTGTTGTGTTTGGTAATGTTATTAGAGGATGCTAGGACGTCCTTTTTGTTACATTGGTTAATTACATATGTGTATTATGGGGCAGTTTTGATTTCCTGAAGAAAAAGAAAGGAGATCTTCCTTGTTCAACTGCATTTTTCACAATGATTAAGAAAGGTCTATAATTTTAGGATAATAGTGTACCAGACATGTATTATATAAACAGAATGGTATATCCAACAGTATTGGACTTTTCCTTTGCACATTGATGAAATATAGAATGAAGGACTTACAGTTTGTGAATATAATGCAAAAACAAAACTCTTAAAATTGAAGCACACATGTCCTAACACTAAAATATCCTAAATGAATCCAAGTTTGAATCCTGGCAAAGTTCAAAGATGGCAGACAGAGACATCAGAAGAATGAAATATTAATGTCAAAAGTTCCACGTTGAATATTTTGAATCACAAAAGATTTGTTAAAAGTTCCAGGTAAATTTTATGAATCACAAAGGAATATTCCAGCTTTAGCAAGGAATAATTTTCACAAAGTCTTTGTCCAAAGCATTGATGACAAAGCGCTTATTTTCCGGAGAATAAAAATTATTCTTAAATAACAAATAACTCAAAATTGGCATCACACAAGTGAGGTATCTATGACCTTGATATACTGATCAATAATTTAAACTTCTGGGTTACCAAATGTCTGAATGAGGTCAGCTAAAAATAATGCTAATGAAATAATTTTAAGTTCTGCACAAACAACATACTTTGTAAAAAAATACTAAATCCCATGAAAAAAAATCATTGCAATAGAATGTAATGAAGCAATATAAAAAAGAATATTTAAACTAACACACAAGCAATTTTAAATACATATACCTAACACTTAAAGATTTATATAATAAAGCTTTCTTTTATATGTAAATTATATATGATAAAAACAATATTACATAAGAAAACTCATAAATTATACAAAGTATACATAAAAAATAGTTCTATACATGGGAAACTGCATCTGCAATCAAATTGTCATTTCCTTTGATGTGCCTGATGTTAAAATTATATTCTTTCTAAAACAAACTCCACCTTAACAATCTTTGGTTTTTATCTTGTCAATCAAAGTGATTGGGTTGTAATTGATAAACACAAAAACCGGAGGAGCTGAGGTAATGTAAACTTCAGAATGTTGTAATGCCAAAATTAAAGCCAAAATTCCTTCTCAATTGTTGAGTAGTTTCTTTGGTGCTTGTTTAATTTCTTTGAAAAATAGCACACTGGATAATCAGCACCATTTCTATCTTCTTGAATCAAAACTACTCCTACCCCAACATCACTCGCATCCACAGATAACTTTAATGGCTGACTGAAATTTGGAGTTGTAAGAACTGGTGCAATTTTGAGTATGGCTTTTAACCAACCTATCAAAAGCCAACTGACTTCCAGTCCAAAGAAACTTGTTTTTCTTACTTAACAAGCTTGTCAGGGGTTCAGCAATGTTGGAAAAATTGGAACAAAATTTTTGATAGTATCCAGCCATACCCTAAAATTGCATTGTTTGCTTTTTACTAACAGGCACAGGGAAATCAGAGATAGCCTTGACCTTAGCATCTATAGGTTTAAGTTGACCATGTCCCACAGTATGTCCTAGAAAAGTTACACAAGCATGGAAGAACTCACTTAATAGATAAATTGATTATCAAATTTGCATTAGTAAGTCTGTTCGTTCCAGGTGTTGTAGATGATGACATCATCAATATAAGCATCACAATTATCTAGACCAGAAGTAATCATATTTATCAAGCATCGAAAAGTACGTGGGGAACCCTTCATCCCGAATGGCATTACTTTTTATTGGTAGAGTCTATCTTGAGTCACAAATGCCGAAATTTCATTTGCTTTTTTTGTTAGTGGAATTTGCTAAAATTCTTTCAGAAGGTTAAATTTGGTGACATACTACTTTGCATATCCAGTTTTATCATTACAGTCATTGATTCTTGGTAATGGAAATGAATATGTTTTTGTCACACTGTACACCTTCCTATAATCAGTGCACATATGGAATGTTTTATCCAGTTTCAGAACAAGTATACATGGTGAACTCCAATCACTTTTCCTGGGCTCAATGAAATCGTTTTCCAGCAAATACAGAATTTCCTTTTTCAAGTATTTCTGTTTGAGAGGGTTCATCCTGTTTGAGTGTTGTTTCACTGGTTTTGAATCAACAATTTCAATGTCATAAAAAATTGTTTGTCCTTGTAGGAATATGTGCTCAATAATAACTTTAAGTTCATCCCTTTTGAGCTGTTGTACATGCAAAAGTTTCTGGTCCAGATTTATCATAATTTCTGAAT